CTCCAGCTGCGTGTGCACACGAGCTTCTAAAAATACGCGGCCACCCCGAGTGCACTTGAAATCGCGTCGAGAGAGAGAGAGAGAGAGAGAGAGAGAGAGAGAGAGAGAGAGAGAGATCGTCGATAAGCAATTTCACGGAGACACGAGACGGAGGCATCCCTTGCGTTCTCCTTAAGAATCTTGCGGCATCCACTTATAATTCGAAGCGTGTTTTGTTCGTTCTTGGCGAGATTAGAAGTTGTGCGTCGATGAAGAGGTTCCAAGTCGTGGAATTTTTCTTCGTTCCAAAGTTGCTGATATTCCTATTCCTATCAAAATGAATTTTTAATCTTTATATCGATTATTGTTTAGTTGATTCAACTCGAACAATTTTTGTCTTTATCTGTCGAGATAGGTGTGATCGACCAGGTTTTGAGATTTTACGACATCCAGTTATAATTCGAAACGTGTTTTCTTTATTTTTCGTGCGATTGGAATCGATTACGTCGATTCCAATCGATCTGATTTTCGTAGAGGGATTTTTATCAGTTCCAAGGTAATCTTAGAAATATAAAGATTATCAAAAGTAACGAATCTTTTTATCTTAATTTTCTATTTCGATGGAAAGTGATGATATATGTGCGAGATATTAATTTAAATATTTAATAAAATCAATTGGGAGGTAGTAATATCAGGGTACACGTATATTTTCCTCTTGTTCCATTGCAGTGACAGTCTTCCTTTTTTTTTTTTTTTTTTTGATTAAAAATATAAGAGGTCTGGGAAAATGGTAAAAAAGTTTCGAACGATGGAGAGTGTGATTACACGATGGGTCGATTGCGCTTCTGTAACTTTGTCGCTGTTTAAGCTTTTTTTATCTAGGGGAGGGAAAGAGATACGAGCTGTCCCAGTTGTACAATTCAACCGTTATTGTGTACCATGGTTGATGATTTTAAAGTGGACACCGAAAGCTTACGCGTTATTTTCAAGATAGAGAACGGCCTTTTGTCTTAAACCGCATACCCGTCTTGGACGCGAAAATAAAATTATAAATAAACTTTTGATTCATTCAAAATTTATATCTACAATACCTCGCGATATCGCAAACATTCATCCGTTATAAAAAAATGAGAAACGAATATCGAAATCCCAAACGAAGGAAAATAGCTTGGCGAACAATTGATTTGAGAACAAGGGACGATATATTCGAGACAGGGAAATAGAGTTCTTGCCGAATTAATTTAACGCCGCGACAATGGAAATCGTAGGATTCGTGTCATGAATTTGTCTCGATTGTTACGAGAGCGCGTCGTTACACCGTGTCTTGGTTTGTTACCGGTTGATAATACCATGGAGGATCCGTTTCCATCTAGAACGCGTCTGCCCGCGTTATTCTAAGCACCGTGGCTTTTGCACCCTCTCCCCCGCCTCCCTTCGTTTCTATGGTGACTCGAAGCGGGGTAGGGTATCCCCCTGCAGATCGAGCGAGCGTCGCAGGTTGATTGTAGGTAACCGTGTAGCCCTCTCGAGCAAACACAGGATCATCTATCGGATAGAGGGTTATCCTCTCTTTCTCTCTCTCTCTCCCTTTCTCTCTCCCTCGAACGAGACAATCATTTCGCATAGTGATTATCGAAGTAACGTCGGTCTGGTGTCTGAAACATTTTCCTAAAGGATCATATTGAGATACGATGCTGGATGCGTGGAGATGGGAGTTTTAAGGGTAAGAATGAACGTTATTGTTTCAGAATATCACGTTTCATCCGGATGTATCTGTGTGACGAGCGGATAGATATTTATAAATTTCAGGGAAATTTAAAAATCTGTAACGTAAGATTGTTGTAAGATCTTCGTGGAAATAAATTACTTTTTTAATGATGGACGGATATTGAAGATTGTATATAATTTTGATTAATTTTTTTTTTTTTGGAAAGGAATAGATACATGTTTTTAATAAGATATGCTTTCTATTTATTACAGGACATGTAGTATTTAAATTTCTTTTTAGTTCAATAAATTAATATTAATTGCATTACGATAGATTTCTAAAAGATTAATTTTAATTTAACCAATAAAGTCAATAAATATAGACTGTTCTACAATTTTAATAGAATCGCGACGATTTTATCGTATATATCGTAAAGAAGATTATGGCTGATTCTGATACACGCGAAGAAAGCAAGGTTAACGCGAAGTGACTTCAAGTTTACCTACGTCTACTCGTCACTTCCTCCTCAACGTGTATTTACACGGCTTCTAAACGTCCGCTCCACTTGTTTAGTGAGATCACATTCGCGCTGTACCGAAAATACAGCTGCACCTTCTCGTTCACTTCGGCGAAGCGAGCACGTTTCTCGGAGCTACTCGCAATTTCGCGTTTTCTTTCTCCTCTGTGATGTGACTTTAATCGCTTTGGAACGTGTTTTACGCGGCCATAGGACAAAGTTACGCATTTAACATCTTCCCGCGCGTTTCCTCGAAACATCGCCACGATGATTATACCTCGGATTCAACCTCGGAGCCTGGAAAAAAAAAAAAAAAAGAACGATTTTTTCGAGTAAATGACAGCGTTTCTTTACTTCCTATTTTTTAACACACCCGTTCTTTGAACCACCCATTATGTTAAATATCGGCGTTGATCAAAGAAACGGAAAATCACGCCTCGTTTGGTCATAAATCTATTTGTGGAGCGATTTTTATAGCTTTCTCGGACTATCTTGGACGTTTTCTTTCAAAGGTTTAATCTTATCGCCTTGTAGTCCGCGATATTCCCTCTTAACTGGCGTTAATCACGTAATATTAAAAATTATTTGAAAGTTTGACATCATTTGCCGCGAGTGAATATATTTGTTATTAAAATTATAGATTATAGCCACTTTTGAAGGAATGAATTTATCGAAGCATTAAATTTCGAATAATATAATAATTATCACGCAATATCGATTTCTCTTATTAATCGTATTAACATAATATGAAATATCATTTAAAATACGATCAATAACAATAATGTTTCCCGATCTGCAATGAATCAACGTTCCTCTCAATCGCACGGAACGAAATCGCGATAACAATCCAACCCCCCCGATCTCCACAGACAGCGTAGACTCTCGCGGTCTCTCGTTTGACATTTTTCGTTGCACCCGAACTGCGGCGGACAGACGGATCCTGGCAGAATTCCAGGGGTATAAATTGTCGGGATCTCCTCGTGTCTCCGATACTTTGCTCCAGAACTTTTCTGCCCCCATCAACCCTGTTCACGGTGGTAGTAGTGGTGGTGGTAACTCCAGACGAAATGGGATTTCGTAACGATCCATCTTCGATCGAAGCTTCGTGTATTCGATCGTATACCTCGCGTCCGTGTTGCTTCCAGCCGGGATATTGCGCAACGATAGGGAAAGGAATACATAGAGGCGTAATGGAAGATGTGAAAGTTTCGTCTCGGTGCAACAACGGTTGCGTGTTTTGAAACGTTTCTCGATAATCAAAGGTTAGAGGTGGGAGGAATTTGTGATTCACGCGGTTGTGATTCCGCTAACATCTGGATACGTGGATCGTGAAAATATTTGGTATAAAGCGGGGTAGGCGTTAGAACTTAGGCGTGTTCGAGTAAAGCGGGATCAAGAAGATATTTTTCGCGTTGGGGCAATGTTTGCGAAAGAGAAATCGAGGGATAATGGAGTTTAGATTTTGAAGAATTATTTAGGACAAGAGAAGAGAGAGATATGTGAAAATAATTTTACATAATGGGAAATATGGGCGTAATGCGTTTGTTATATTATTTAAAATTTCAATAATTCTGGAGAAAAGAATGTTTGAAAATATAATAACGCTCGCATCATGGACGAGATATTTTTGCAAAGGGTCAGCGGTTAATTCCGTGTAACGCGAGCTTTCCTCGGGATCGGAATCCGTTCTCTATTGTTCGATAATGGTTTCATTTCCTTGTATCTCTCTGCTGCATACTAATATATGCGTAATAACTGGGCGCCGTGGGCGCAATAACGAACTTTCGATATTATATGTACGTGTTGGTGCAGTGGCGAGGACTCATTGGATTCATAGGTCTTTGGTCAATTTTCGTAGCGAATTGTTGAAACTCCATTAAATTACGAAAAGGAAGAACGATGAATTTAAAATAGGGAACGTAAAGAAAGATACGATAATCGATTGTATAAAGAACCAATAATGAAAATCGTATGAGTACGTTTTAATTGAAGTTGTTCGACAAAGTATAGCTTAGAGAAAAAGCAATTGGCATTATTTTACATAATTGAGGTGGATTTGTCATTTATCAAAGAGATAGTGTATCCGAGATGCTTGCGTTCTCAGACCAATTAAAGAGACAAGTATAATTGATTTATTTATTTTAGTATAAAAGTATGCAACATCTGCAGTCTGAGTGCAAGATTCTAGGTATTTCGCACTAACAGAAAAGGCGACGAAATGGAAATAACGATGCTAAGGGTTAATCACGAAAAGCTATAAAAATGGAAAATATTCCCAGCAGATATTGTATCATTGTACAAAGTTATATCGAGCGTTATAAAAACCGTTATAAAAATGATATCAAGATAACGAAGGAAAAGCTAGAAGATAATGAAAAAAGTTATAAATAATTACACATAAATTCGACTTAATTTCCATTTAATGATCGCATCTTTTACAGAACCACTGTAATTGTAAGGGAATAAAATGGGGAAAAAGTAAATCGGTGACATAAATCTTACGTCGCATTGTAAGAACCACGGTGCAATGGCAACGTAGCATGGTAGTAAATGTAACGAACGTTTGCGGTAAATGAAACGTTTTATATTTCCATAAATTTCGCGTTCGATGTAGGGAGCTACCCGATCAAAGCGTAGGCATTTTGTGCGCCTCGATAGAGTTTGATCGCGTAGTGCGAAAGATGGCCGATGCGCGGCGCTGGATGCGCAATGACGCTGCGCGCCGATGGCGCCGGCTAGGAGCGGGACCGTCAGTCGCAGAGGGACCACGCACGGTGGCGGTCGTGAGTTGTCGTAATAGAAAGAGAACGTGCAATAGGACGAAAGGAGCTAAAGAAAGACAGAAAGATAGAGAAGTTTAGAGAAAAAAGAAGTAAGAGAAGAAACAAAAAAGTCAAACGTAGCGTTCGCGTACGTTCGTAGTCGCCTAATTCGCGGGTCCCGCTCGATCGTGTGCGCGTGAAAGAGTTTTAACCTCCGTCGTTCGATTATCGTGCGTCGTCTCGGTTCGCTCTGGTGCGTGTGGGTCGGCGCGCGCGCGCCTGTGTCCGTGTGTGCGTGAAAAACACCGCACCGTCTTTCGTTACGCGTTTGTGTGTTACATCGGTAGTATATATATATACAAATATACGTGCGTCGGAAAGAGAGTAGCGCCGGGTCGCATACAGTGTGCACGAAAGTAAGAGAGAAAGAGATAGAGTGGGAAGGGACAACCGGAGCCGAGGAGGAGGAGAGGCGGGTGAGGAGGGGGAGGAGGTACGGAGTGTTGGATTTGTTTTCTCGCACAACGGTGGAGCAAAACGGCCTCAAACTGTGGGGCTCTGGGGCGTTTTTTCTTCCTCCGCAAGGGATGTACTACCCCGTAAGTGATTATTTCATTTTTTATAAATATCGTGCGTTCACCGGGAAGCTAGAACGATTAATCAAAGAGAGGGAGGCGTCTCTCTGTCTCCCTCACTCTCTACCCTCTCTTTACTGGAAATGTTCGAAGGCGTCGGTTCGATATGAGGCATCAGGTTGTGGAATTGTGCTTTGTTTCTATTTTAGACTTCTGCGAATCATTCGATATTACATACGACGCGATCAGAAATGCATATTTGATTCTTGTCGTACGGAAAATAGTAGAATACACGCGCACAGTGTTACGCTCCATAATGTATTGTTTTGTTTTTTCCCCTATAAGTCTAATCAATTTCTGTTCGTTCGTATAAATACGTTGTATAAATACGTTCGTCGTAGTACCGTTGTAAATAGAATGAAATCATTTTCAATTGTCGTATCATCATCGCGAATATTTCGTTCAATACGAATTGGAGGTTATGTTCGTCTCCGCCGGAAGGTTAAAAACGAGGACAGAAATTCGGAGTGAGAAAAGAGTGAATAAAACGATTGTTTTGATTATTTCTGGCAGAGAAAATTACCTTGACCGTCGTGTTTGACGTCGGCGGACATCGTATTTCGAGGAATTTGCTTATTTACTACGTTACGATAGACTTCTGCGAAAGAGAGGTTAGAATACTCGGTGAGAAAGATACAGAAGGCACTCCGAAGTGAAAGTAAATATATTGCTGTTAGCTATTTTCACTCTATGTGCCATTAGTTTCTCAAATATTACAAAAGTCTCCATAATGAGTCAATTTTAAATAATCCCGATTAACGTACTGCTATAATCTAAACATAAAATCTTTATTTTTTTAAACAAATATAATTATGTACACATAATTATTAACCAAAATTTTATTTTCTCATCCATATTATGTAGTAATAAATGTTATATTATATATAATAATAATAAATAAAGAAAAAAAAGCTTTTTTCGCTCACATATTCGAAAATTGAATTTTAAATTTTCTTTCGTATTTATTTAGCAGGTAAAATGCAGAGAGGGCTTTCCCGAATCGAATCGTATCCCAAAGTTTCTTTCTTCTCAGGTAGACACTGGCGGATTGAATTTCGCATACAATATACCTGACCTGTTTCTTTCATTTCCTTATATACCTTGGAGCACAACGTTCGCTTTTACACAACGAATCAAAGTCGAGGCTGCTTTCACATAATTTATATAGTATCCCTTATTGTTATAAGTATCAGCTGTGCAATTCGAACGAGAGAACTATTCGAGGTTTCGATCGAGACATCGAATTACATTACACGAACTCAAATGTGACGTGTGTGCGTTTCATAGGCAACGCACGTGTGTCGCGGCGCGAAACATTCTCGTCTTGGTCTTTTCTGGCACGACACGACTAATGTGAAGAGGACGTGCCATTTTTTGCGCGGGTTTGAAGCATTCATGCTGCTACCCGATTCGTTGCGAATGCGTCGCGTAATTAATATTGATATGCGTATCGCGTTACTTGCCATTTGCGTTGCAATTTTTGTCTTTCGTTGATGAACGAAATTATGACATTATCTTCAATACGTTTTTTGTATCAGCATGAATGTTTGTATATGTAGAATATTCTATTTTTTTCATTTTAAATCTCTAAATTTAAAAATTGAAAGAAAAAATAATGATTATGAATGAGGAAAAATGATGAAATGAGATTTTTAACTTGTAAAAACCGTAGATGATTGAAACTTAAATTCTCGTAGAAAAATTTGTATTTCTTCAAAAAAATTACAAAGATTTGGAGAATATTTAAATTAAAGATAATTAAATATTCTGCAAATTTTATGATAATATTTTATTAATTGAACAATTTATATGTAAAGGGACGAAAACTTCAAAATTATTATCAAGATCATCTTATATAATTGAACTGCTATTATAAATGAAATTAATTAAGTTTCAATTGTATAATAGTGAAATTAGTAATAATTATAAATTCTATTGCATGCATGATATATCTTTGGCAATGAATATGAAATAGATAAATTTTTACTAATTGGCAAATTATTATATAAGCAAACTTATATAGTTGAAGAAAAAGATCTCTAAATTATTTTCTAATATTCATAAGATTATTTTAATATGAATGTTCAAGTAAAAAAAAAAAAAAAAATTATAATAAAAACAATCTCGTATTAATTATATAATTATACGATATAATTTATGCCGCGACTATTATTAGCAAACGTTCGTATTTATAATTCTTCCTTGAAAGGAAAATTCCTGGAGACCGAACTAGTTCGATCTTATACATATTTAAACAGTACAAAAATAAAGAAACGCGACTATCGATACACATACACATACACATATGTCGGTGAAAAAACGAATGGAATGTAAACATAAAAATGATATAACGGTATTCCAATTCAAATTCAAAGTTCACCGCATAGATTCATGAGCAATAACTCAATTCACCGGCGATATAAAGCCGAGTATACGAACTCGAAGGAACTGCAACGTCATCGGTAAACTCCGCCATCGTAAACATGACATGCATTAACAAATAATCTGCTTCCGACTTCCTCGTTTTCCTCGCGAAAAAAGAGTACTACACGATTTTCTGCTTACGCGCTAGAAAATGAAAAAAAAAAGAAGGGAGGGGGAAAAAAAAAGAAAAAAACGCAAATTACATATTAAAGCAAAGGCCGATTTTTTTTTTTTTTACCGTTATTATCGTACTGTTGTTCGGAACAATCGATCAGATCGATTTCGCCGCGATCACACTCTACTTTTTCACGAAAATTCCTTCGAATGGAGAATCGGTTAATTTCCGCGCGCGAATTTTTCCCGACGTGTTCCAGCTTTTTATTCCCCGTCTATACATACGTATTCGTTAGAAAAGGGGTTTGTTCACGGCGAGGTGGACGAAAAATTTCCAAGCAGATTACAGCGTCACGAGCTCGCGGCATTATCCGTCGACATTAATCCGCTGGCATTACCACTGCCAATTCCGTGGGAATAAATAAAAGAGGAGGAGGAGGAAGAGGAGGGGGAAGAAGAGAGGGAGAAGGATAGGGGTGGAATATGGAAGGGAAGAGAGGAAACTAGTGGGGGAAAAACGTCGGTACGGTCACGTTCCGTCGGCTTTTTAGGAAAAGAGTCGGTTTTTGGGTCAAGCGTCCGAGCAACCCCCCGCGTATCGGGCCACCCCTTTTCGGTTTTAATATTATTTCCCGAGGAAGCCTGCGACCAATGAGGCATGAATAGGCCGAAGTGGATGGGTGAACGTCATTCTCCAGATAGTCGTGTTGATTCTGCTAATTTTCCCTCTTTTTTCCCCTCCCCCTTCTTCTTTTTTGTCACTCTCTTTTTCCGTCTCTCGGCCATATGTTCCTCTCGCTTCCGACGACCCCTCGGTTTTTTTTTTTCACTCCATCATAAAGTGTATTTTGAAATATAGGGCAGGGTGGGTTATTTCCAGTCCCCTGTGTATCGATACTTTATTTCGAGGCGAGTAGATCGATCGTTATTCCCATCGGTTGGCCCTTAAGCGCGGCCCAACTGTGCGTCCTGATGCTAATTTCTTTTCTTTTTCGTTTGGATTATTGTGGTCGTATAAATGCCTTTTTTTTTTTTTTTATTTCGGAGGGATAAGGGATGAGGTTGAGGAATTTCGTGCACGATCTTTTTCGCGCCACGGATTTTCGAAAGAAACTCGTTTAGATACACGTATTAAAACTCATCATTTTGGAGTAAATACATTATGTTTATATTTCGGTGCTCGGCTCGTAAAATTAGAGATTTGTTGCGACTTATGAAAGGGTTTATTATCGTAGAAAATTTTTATGAATATGTCTGTTGTAAAGAAAAGTTGTTAAAAGACTATAAAGTTTGAAAGAAATCTGATTGTATACGAGTCATAAAATGTTTGTCAGAAGTATTTGAACCGATAGAAATTAGTCAGAAACAAAAATCATAATTAATTCTATAACATGAACTTATTCGATTCCTCGAATAAGTTTCGAAGTTTCGAAAGTTTTGCTTATCGAGTGAAAATCTTCGAGCATTTTCTCGTATCATTCTTCGAAATTACGAAATACTCGAAATTTGTATACATCTTAACGCTTCTTTTTTTTTTTTCTTGGAAAGAACGCTCTGAATATCAATCCATCTTATGTATTCAGTCGTCGCCGGTAGAACGGACGGTAATTCATTAAGCAGTTGCATAAATTCTTGCCTTAATTTGCGCATAATTTACCTTCTGTCCGAGGGCCAGCCAGCATCTTGGCAGAGAAAATAAGGGGGGGGAAGGGAGGGAAAAGCGGCGGGCAAAAAAATTGGAACGCAAGAAAAGCGGCGTGCAATATAAATTGGCGCTGCCGAGGGGACGAAAAATGAAACGTTCCCTTCGAATTCGTGGAATTTACGCCTCTTCGTCCAAACAACGTCATTATTCCTTGTCTCATCCCATCTGATAATTGTTTCTCAAGTCTTGAAACCTCCATTTCGAGAAATTACTCGTTATCTCGAGAGTGGATGTTTCACTGGGGATTAATTTCTTTGGATTAATCTGTTCGTCCGACAAGTACGTCTCAGTACCCTTGGTAAGTCGATGTCACCTTGACATCGATATTCTCGTCGCGTGTTCGATTAATCGGTGCATTTTTCTATGGCTAACCGCATCTTCGAACGTTCTTGTTGTTGCCGGTTGGATCTCTTCCTCTATTTTCCGATTCCCCTTGCGTTTCCTTTTGTAATCTTGAATTTCATCGCAGAGAAAATCGCAATGGAAAATCGCGACGTTCGTTCTTCTTTTAACTCTCTCTTTGTGTGCACGCGTGTGCGTATTTATTTATTTCTGATAGAACACGATCCAAGAAATATATTTCAACTTGATTCAAATTCTAGAAAGATATTCTTCAAATAATTTATTATTTTACGATTGACGATGATTGAAATATTTCCTTTTATATCGTTTTCTTATTTCGTACTTTATATATTTCGAGTCTAAATCTCTGTCAATGGCG